CTCTCTCTCTTCCTCTCTCTCTCTCTCTCTCTCTCTCTCTCTCTCTCTCTCTCTCTCTCTCTATATATATATATATATATATATATATATATATACATATATATATATACATATTTTATATATATATATATATATATATAATATATATATGTGTGCCTGGTGTGTGTGTGTGTGTGTGTGTGTGTGTGTGTGTGTGTGTGTGTGTGTGTGTGTGTGTGTGTGTGTGTGTGTCTGTCTCTGTCTGTCTCGTCTCTCTTCCTATATATATATATATATATATATATATATATATATATATATATATATATATATATATATATATATACATATTTGTAGGTATACAGATATGTCGGTTTAATAAACCAATCTATCCATCTATTTATCTAAAAACAACTACATATATGGGAAGCTAGAAAGATAGCCATGAATACGAAAAAATAGAGATACAACTACATATGATGATTACTGATAATGAGTGAATAACAGTCACACTGAATGCCTAGCACTCAGGCGTTTCATCATTAGCAACATAATTATGCTTGTAATTATAATGATGTGTTAGAAGCAATGAAATCAAATTATCACACGAATCTTGATAAGGTCGAATACAAATCTAAAATTGCTATACTCTTGAATTTGGATTTAGTGAAAAACAGCATGATATATATATAAAAAAAAGAAAAGTGTGTATATTAATACAGGAAAATAGGTTTCAGAAGAATGGGTAGCCAAACCGTACATGAAATATATATGGCGAGAATAAATAGTTTTTTATTATTTCATTTTTTGAAAGTCATAAGAAGGGGAGGAAAGAGTATATCTTGTAAATTTGTAATTAAATTCTAAAATCGTGCAAAGTGTTCCATTCCTTGACTCTGTGGAACAATATGCATGACCCCGACTGTGTATTCGGAATGAAAGGAAATTAGAGAGGCTAAGAAAGGGACATATGTAAAAGAAGGAAATAATCATTAATATAACTATGCTTAATGATTTGTAGATAAAAGAGAAGAAGAAGGGGAAAAAGAAGAGGGAGGAAGAAGAGGAGAGAAGCCAAGAGAGGAAGAGTAGAAGGAAGAGAGAAAGATGAAGAAAGAAAGAGAAGGAAGGTGAGGAAGGAAGAAGTTAGGAGAGTAGAGAGAAGAAAGAAGAAGAAGAAAAAGAAGGCAAGAGAAGGAGGAAGGGAGAAGAAGAGGAGGAAGAGAAAACTGAAAAATAAAAAAATAAGAAAATTAAATACAGTTAATTTATGATGTCTGATTAAGCAAGTATCCTTCGTTGATCTTAGTTAGCCCATCTTCAGGTCTTTTCAGTAATAACACCTAAAGCTGCGCAAAGATATAACGAATAGTATGTAGTGAAAAAACGGACACTTATAAAGCAAGAAGTAAAGCTTGGAAGAAAACGACAACATAGGGTAAAGTCCAAGTTGATACAAAAATGATCGTCGAATATAAACCATATGCGTTCTATGTTTCTTTTTTTCGTATTAGTGTGTGTGATTTTGTCCTAATTGCCTCATGTTATCAAGGGGCTCTTTTTGCTTTAAGGCATTTCATTTATCTACATTGTGGTCATTTCATATGGTTGGTCTGTCATAATATCACTTCTCTTTGCTAGCCTTTCCGGCTCTTGGGATACAAACAAAGCAGTAAATAGGAGCATGAAGATAAAGATGGATAACAGTATGAGCGAGAACTTAACAATGATAATTGGCATGAGAGCTGTGGCACTGTGATGGAACGCGTTTTATTGGATTTCCGATATCCTTTAAAGACGACTGGGCTCTGAGCTCACAGGGTCGAACAGGGAGATTGTTACACATAATGGTAAGGCTGGGTGAGAGAAGAGACACAGGGAGGGAGGGAGGATGGACGGATATGCACAAGAAGCGCAAGAAAAGATTCAACACACACACACCACTCTCTCTCTCTCTTTCACCACACAGCACAAATATTTAATCTGGTATTCTATTTTATAATCTATATCTAGTAATTATAATATATTATATTTAATATATATATATATAGTAATATAAGGATAATAGGGGTAGTAGAATTTAAAGTTAGGGTAGAAGAGTATAAAAGGTATATATGTTTGGTTATGTACTATTCCATCTCTCTCTCTCTCCTCTCTCTCTCTCTCTCTGTCTCTCTTCTCCTCTCTCGTACTCTTCTCTCTCTCTCTCTCTCTAGTTAATGTATATATATATATATATATATATAGATATGTGGTGTGTGGGTGGTAAATGGGAATGTAATTATATAAGGTATGTAAGGTATGAATATATAGTGATAAATACTAGTAATAGATAGTATAATGAGTGAATGAAGAGAGAGGACTTGAGGTAAGAAGTGGGATAGATATATACACCACACACACACACACACAGCAACACACACACACACACACACCACACACACACCACCACACAACGATAGAGATATAGAGATACTGATAATAAAGTATAAATAGAGATATAAGTAAGTGTAGTAGCGTATACATACACACACACACACACAACAGCACACACACACACCACACACACCACTAAGATAGTATATAATATATACTATATATATATGTATATATGTATATATATATCATACTATATTATATATATATATGTTAGCTATGAATGGATAATGGTAGTCATATATGGGTCTTAAAGAGGTATTATATGGTACATTAGTAACTTATCAATACATATCTCTGAATCTGCCTTCCCTCTCCTTTCACCCTCTCGTGCTACGTAATCGCAGTCATAATCTATTTTCTCCCTCTCTTTGCGTCTTTCATTGACTCGCCAGCCCAGACTTAAATGCGTGCGTCTTGTCTATCCCCACTCTCTCACAAACGGACACAAAGGGATAAAAATATAACAATCAGAGAACGCGCTTTGCCGATCATTATTGGAAGTTCATGGGTTTCAGTTCCCACGGGGATTAACGTACTGCCGTGTGTACGTGTTCGCTATGTCGAAATACGTTCGGCGCGATAACAAAAGTGAGAGTCAATCAATGTGAGAGAAAGAGAGAGAGAAAGTAACAAAGAACAGAAGAGAGAGAAGGAAGGGAGAGGGAGAGGAGAGGGAGAGGAGAGGCTGGTAGAGGAGAGATGGAGGAGAGGGAGAGGGAGAAGATGGAGGAGAGGTGGAGAAGAGGGAAGTGGAGGGTGAAGAGAAGGAACCGGGACGGGAGACGCGGAGGGAGGGAGAAGCATGCGCGAAGAGGAAATCCAGGAGAGGGAGAGGCGAAGAGAGGGAGGGAGGAAGAGTGGAGGATGTGAGTGAAGGTAGATGAGGAGGAGGGAGAGAGAGCAGAGAGAGAGAGAAGAATCACTAAGAGAAGAGGAGCGAAGAGAGAAGAGGAGATGAATGAGAATAGATTCGAGAAGAACGGAGGAAATAGAAAGATGAGGGAAGTGTAAAAGTGAGAAACGGAAGGAAGATGATAAGGAAGGAGGAGAGGGAAGGAAAATAAAAGTACAGAAGGGAAAGGTCAAGAAATATATTTCATATATTCTTTATTACAGGAGGAGAAGTAGTAGACAGGAAGAAGGAAGGAAGAAAAGGAAAATGAGAAAAAAAAGAAGAAAGAGAACAGAGGAGGAGCGCAGACTGGAGACAGACAGGAAGGAGAGGAGAGAGAAAAAGTGGGAAGAAAAAAAAAGAAAGAGAGAAGACAGACAGACAAATTGGAGGAGAGAGAGAATAAGAGAGAAGGGAGAAGAGGAGGCAGAGACAGGACAGACAAGATGAGAAAGGAAGAGAAGAGACGGAAAGAGAGGCAGAGAACAGGACAGACAAAGAGAGAGAGAAGAGAGAAGAGAGAGAGAGAGAGAATGAGGAGGAGAGAGAGAGAGGAAGAGAGAGAGAGAGAGAGGACACGACAGCAGAGAGAGACGAGAGGAGAGAGAGGAAAAGAGAGAGACAAAGAGAGGAAAGGAGAGAGACAGAAGAGACCAGAGAAGAGAGAAGAGAAGGGAAGAGACAGACAGACAAAGAAGAGAGAGGAGAGAGAGAGAAAGACAAGAGAGGGTTGAACAGACAGAGAACAAAGAGAGAGAAAAAGAGAGAGAGAGAGAGGACAGACAGGCAGAAAGAAGAGAAAGAGAGAGAGAAGAAGGGCAGGACAGGGCGAAAGAAGGATGAGAGAGTAGAGAAGAAAGAGGAGCAAGAGGATAGAGTAAGCGAGAGAGGAAGAATACCTTTACCCCAGAGTGTAGTGGGAAGACCACAGTGACTTCCCTACATAGCGGTGCACTTCCCGCCGGACCATGAATGGTGAACAAAGTGCATGCGGCAATAGAAAGAAGACAAGAAACACAGAGAAGAGGAGGGATCGGCAGGAAGGAGACAGAGAAGAGTGTAATATCATAAGATAATTTGTGTGTAGTGAGATAAGTCAGAAGATGCGTCCTTAATTAGCATCATTAGGGCTTGGCTTTGCGAATTGGGCTTTCGTGTCATCTGTTATTTTACTTTTTCTTTATGTCTTTCTCTTCGAGGGTCATTCTTTCTCTTTTATTGTTTGTTTGTCTTTTGATCTATATGGTCTTATCTGTCTGTCTATCCGTAGTTGTGTGTCTCTGTGGGCTGTCTCTTGTCTTTGTCGTTTCTGGGCTTCTCTGTCTTGCTGTCTCTGTCTCTGGATCTCTGTCTATCTTCTGTCTACTGTCGTATCTCTAGGGATGTCTCTGTCTATCTTCTGTCTTTCTCTGCTCTTCTCTCTCTCTCTCTCTCTCTTCTCTCTCTCTCCTACTCGTCTTCTCTCTCTCTCTCTCTCTCTCTTCTCTCTCTCTCTCTCTCGTCATCTCTCTCTATCTCTGTGGGGATGATGATGAGAGACGTTGTGGGCCTCGGCAACGATTGCAGAATCTCAGACTCGAAGCGGAAGATCGTCACTTAGTCACATAGCATCATCGCACTGACTGGCGTATAACCGGAAGCCGCATTACTTACGCATCATTACATACTGACTATGATCGACTTTTGTAACTCATTGTATCAGTGTGGTATTGATGCACGCTGCAAGGCTACTGTAAGCTACAAATCGCGCCTGTTCAATCGACAGCGCATACACCTCCAGGTCAACATCTAGTAACCCTCGTACTAGCAACACCTTCACCTCTGTCGTGTGGGAGATAGTAAGCCGTACGCACACACTTTGCACATGCGCAACGAGAAAGAGCGAATCTTACTCTCCGCACAGCACGCTCGCACGCACAGCACTCAGCCAGTCCGCTGACGAGAGGAGAGAGAGACAAACAGAGAGAGAGACGTAGAGGAGAGAAGAGACGATGAGCGAGAGGAGATCGAGACGAGAGAGTAGATAGGACCGACGTCGCACGAGAAGAGAGAGAGAGAAAGGAGAAAGAGAGAGAGAATGCAGAATATATAAGCCAGATATAAACCAAATACACAACAGAAATAAGATACAGATAAAACGACAGATACACACATAATCTATATAGACAGAGACAGAAATAGAAAAGAAAAAAGCCAAACCTTACCTTAGTGCTGACCAACCTCGCAATATCTCCCCCCGCCCGCTTCCCAAGTCCATCTCAACGTCCCCCCCCCCTACCCCACGGACGGTCTTAAGTCCTTCCGTTAATCATGTTCTTACATTCAAGTCAGACCGGCGACATCCAGGCTAAGATACTGTAGCTGTTAAACCTTGCCTTTTATGTTCTCCTTTTTGGCAAAGCAACGCGCCTGATATGCTAATCTTGCGGGATATGCCGGGGAATGGGAATCGAGCGAGGCTCAATATAGCTTTGATTGTTTGTTTGCGTTGTCGTTGAGGAAAAGAAAGGGGTGGATGGGAAGGGAGGAGGGAAGGTTTTGTGATTGGTGGTGGGGTGGGGGAGGAGGGGTGGTGGGTGTGAAGGAGGAAGGGGGGGGGGAGGTGAGGGTGGTGGCGTGGGAGAGGGAGAAGGGAGGGGGAGAGAAGAGAGAGAGAGAGGAGGGAGAGAGAGAGAGGAGAGGGGAAGGGGACGAGGGAGGAGAGAGAGGAAGGAGAGGAAGAGGGAAGAGAGAGAGAGAGAGAGAGAAACGAGAGGGGAGCGAGGAGGAGAGGAGGAGAGAGAGAGACGAGAGAGGGAGAGAGAAAAAAAAGAGAGAGAGAGAGAGAGAGGAGAGAAGAGAGACCAGAGAGAGCGGAAGAAGAGAGAGGACGAGAGAGAGAGAAGAAGAGGAAAGAGGAGAGAGAGAGAGAGAACGAGAGAGAGGAGGAAGAGAGAAAAGAGAGAGAGAAGAGAGAGAGGGGGATATAGATAGATAAATAGATAGATAGATATTTATTTGTTGATTTTCTTTCTTTTCTTTTGTTCTGTCTTCCTCACGTGTATATATTATTTGTGTTTTGTTTTTGTCTGGTTTTAGTTAGTTTGTTTGTCTTCTTTGCGTGAATTCTTTATTTGTCGTTTTGTTTTTGTGTTTTTTCTTTGTTTGTCTATCGTTTCTTTCTTTATACATCGGTTGTTTTTGTGTCTTTAGATTTTTTGTTTATTTTCCTTTCGTGTATTCTTTGTGTTTTATTTTTTTGTATTTCCTTTACGTGCTTCTTTATTGTCGTTGTGGTTTTTTTGTGTTATTTTTAGTTCTTCCTTACGTTCTTTATCTATTTATCGTTTTTGTAGGTTTGATTTCTCATATCGCCTTTACTTCTTTCTTCTATTCGTTTTTTTATTTCTTTCTTATCTCATCGTATTTCTCCTTTATGTTTTTTTTTTTTTTTTTTTAATCTATCTTCCTCCTGTTCTTTCTTTATTCATCTTTTTTTTATTGTGTTTTTTATCCCTCTTCCTCCTGTTCTTCTTTATTCATCGTTATTTTTTTATGTTATGTATCTTTATCCATCTTCATTGCGTTCTTTCTTTACTCATCGTTTTGTTTTTTGTTTTTTTTCTCTATCTTCCACACGTTCTTCCTTTATTCATCGTTTGTTTTTATATGTTTTTTTAGTTTTTTTTCTCTCTCTTCCTCCTGTTCTTTCTTTATTCATCGTTATGTTTTTTTAACTTTTTATCTATCTTCATTACGTTCTTTCTTTACTCAACGTTTTTTTTAATCTATCTTCCACACGTTCTTCCTTTATTCATCGTTTTGTTTTTTATGCTTTTTTATCTGTCTTCATTGCATTCTTTCTTTACTCATCGTTTTTTTTTTTTTTTTTTATCTCTCTTCCTCACGTTCTTTCTTTATTCATCGTTACATTTTTATTTTTTTTTTATCTATTCTTCCCCACGTTCTTCTTTATTCATCGCTTTCTTTTCTATGTATTTTTTAGTTCTGTTATCTATCATCCCCACTTCTTTATTCACCATTTCTTTTTTTTAATCGTTTTTTATTTTTAGTTCATTTCTCTCTCTTCCCCAATTTCTTCCCTGTTGCATTTGCCTTCCTTCCAAATGCAACACAAGTCACGCAAAATCTCCCAAGTCTCCCCTCGCGTTGGTCCTCCGTCACAACGTTGCTGGCCCCGTCGTCCGTGGCCGTCGTTCGTGCTTGGCGTCGTTGCGTGGGCGTCTGTGGGCGCGTGGCAGCGTCGTTGCACGTTCGTGTTGGGCGTCGGTTCCGTGGGCCGTCGTTGCTGTGGTCCTTGCAGTGGGCGTCGTTGCGTGGGCGTCGTTGCGTGGGCGTCGTTGCGTGGGCGTCTTTGCGTGGGCGTCGTTGCGTGGGGCGTCGTCGTTGCGTGGCGTCTTGCGTGGCCGTCTTGCGTGGGCGTCCTTGCGTGGTCGGCGTTCGTGGGCGTCGTTTCGTGGGCGTCGTTGGTGGGCGTTGCGTGGCGTCGTTGCGTGGGCTCGTTGCGTGGGCGTCGTTGCGTGGGACGTCGTTGCTGGCATCTATTCGTGGGCGCGTCGTGGGTACGTCGTGCCGTGGACGTCTTTGCGTGGCGTCTTGCGTGGGCGTCGTTGCGTGGGCGTCTTGCGTGTCGTTGCGTGGGCCTCGTTGCGTGGGCGTCTTTGTGGGGCGTCGTTGCGTGGGCGTCGTTGCGTGGGCGTCTTTTCGTGCGTGGGCGTCTTTTGCGTGGGCATCGTTGCGTGGGCGTCGTTGCGTCGTGGGGCGTTTTCGTTGCGTTGTGGGCGCTTTGCGTGGCGTCGTTGACGTGGGCGTCTTTTGCGTGGGCGTCGTTGCGTGGGCGTCTTTGCCGTGGGCCGTCGTTGCGTGGCATCTTTGCGTGGCGTCGTTGCTGGGCGTCGTTGCGTGCGTCTTTGCGTGGGCGTCGTTGCGTCGTGGGCCGTTCGTTTGCGTGCGTGTGTTGGGCTCGTGCGTGGGCTGCGTCGTTGCCGTGGGCGTCTTTGCGTGCCGGCGCGTTACGACGTCTTTGCGTGGGCGTCGTTGCCGTGGGCGTCTTTGCGTGGGCGTCTTTGGTGGGCGTCTTTGCGTGGGCGTCGTTACGTAGGGTCGTTGCGTGGCGTTTTGGGGCGTCTTCGTGGGCGATGGGCGTCGTTTCGTGGCGCGTCGTTGCGTGGGCCGTCGCGTCTCGTGCCTGGGCTCGTTAGCGTGGGCGTCTTGCCGTGGGGCGTTCGTTGCGTGGCGTTGCGGCGGTGGCTTTGCGTGGGCGTCGTTCCGTTCGTTGTGGGCGTCGTTGCGTGGGCGTCGTTTCGTGGCGTCTTGGTCGCTCGTCGTTGGGCGTCGTTGCGGTGGGCGTCTTTGCGTGGGGGTGCGTCGTTTGCCGTCGTTTGCGGCTCTTTGCGTGGGCGCCGTCTGCATGCGGTCGTTCGTGGGCGTGCGCGTCGTGGGCGTCGTTGCGTGGGCGTCGTTCGTGGGCGTCGTTGCGTGGGCGTCGTTGCGGGCGGTCGGGAGAAACCTGTTGCCAAAAGCCTCCCACCTCGACGTTGAAGGAGGCTGCGAGGCTGAGGAGAAATGAGGGAAAAAGAGAAGGGGGGGAGAGGGAGAGAGAGGGAGAGAGAGGGGGGAGGTGAGGAGGAGGGGTGCATGTGGGATGGGGAGGGGAAGAGAGGGAGGGGAGCAGGAGAAAAGGGGGGAGAGGTGAGGGGAGGGAGGAGGGAGAGAGGAGGGAAGAAGTGGAAAAGGAATGAGGGAGGAAGGAAGGAAGGAAGGAGGGAGGAAGGAGGGAGAGGAGATAGGGAAGAGAGAGAGAAAGAGAGGGAGAGAGAGAGAAGAGAGAGAGAGAGAGAGAGAGAGAGAGAAGAGAGAGAGAGAGAGAGAGGAGAGAGAGACGAGAGAGAGAGAGAGAGAGAGAGAGAGAGAGAGAAAGAAAGATAATGGAAAATATATCAGGATAAAGGGAAAAAAGAGAACCAACAGAACTGGAAAGATTTTTTTTCTTTTCCTTTTGTAAAGGATAAAGATGATAATAATTAAAGAATCGTTATTGAAGAATCCTTCGTTCTTGTTTATTTCCTTCTCTTCCTCCCTTCGTACTTCTATGCCCAGTAATTATTTCATATCCTGATATATCCATATCTCTCTTTCTTCCTCTCTCTTTCTCTCCTCTCTTTTCTTTCTCTTTCCCTCTCTCTCCCTTCCTCCTTTCCATCCCCTCTCTCTCTTCCCCTCCCTCCTCCTTCCCTTCCCCCCTCTCTCTCTCTCTCCTTTCTCTCTCCCTTCATTTCTGGACATATTCACTTGTAACATACAATAAAAACAAAAGCAACAAAAAACAACAAGAAAAAAAAGCTATATACTTTTTTCGTTAGTATCTGTCACCTCATTTTTTGACATAATTTTTTTTTTGCAATCTTACAATTTCGTTATATAAAACTTTTTCTTCCCCCGAGCCGAATTTCCAGTTTCCTTCCCGATAGTTTTCTCGGCAAAGCAAGTTACATTATGGTTATTATAGCCATATCTTGTCTGTGCGCTGCGTCTGCAAAATTCTCTGTCTGGATTAACATTCAACCAACATCTTTTATTTGCGTAATTCTTTTTTTTTCAGTGTGGAAGGGATGTAGATTTTTATTTTCTTTTGCATGTTCACGAGGTGTCTACAGAAGGGGTAAAAAAATGTTTGAATATGTGTACACAACCACGCATATGTATGTGTGTATGAATATGCATGTATAGGCTTCAATTACATACATGCATGCGATTATATAATATATATATATATATATATATAATATATATATATATATATATATATATATATATATCTGTATATATATATATATATATATATATATATATATATATATATATATATTATATATAAATATTATATATATTATATATATATATATATATAATTATATTTATATATATATATAATATATATATATTATATATATATATTAATATATATTATATATATATATAATATTATATATATATAATATATATATATATATATATTAATATTATATATATATATATATTATATATAATATATATACTATACATACATTGTATTATAACACTATATCATATATATGTAGTATATATGATAATATGGTTTCTATCATATCGCACCTATCTCTCTCTCTTCATCTCATCCTCGTCTCATCTCTCTTCTCGTAATTCTCTATCTATCAATATACTCATATGTAGGTAAAATTTATAATACAGAAAATAGGAGCAAGCAAAACACAAAATTTCGCCGACCTTTGACCCGAAAACACTCCTGAATATACTTTCAAATTAAATAGTATGGCTACGCGT